AAACCAGAGTAGCCGAAGACAGAACGTTCCTGGACGAACACTATTGGCTGCGCAACCCTCGGGGGATGGAAGGATGCGCACGCCTCAAGACCGAGTTACCCCAGGGTACACAACTCAACCCTACCACCTCCAAAGAATGGTCTCAATGCTCGATATGCCTCCTGGGCAACGTAAATGACGCACTATGCGCCGACAGACACAAATCTGTACTGGGCCGCATCGACAACACACTATTGGACTTAGGAACGACAAGAATTCGGCCCAAAAGCACAAGGCCTACTATTCGACGTAGTGTTCATTGCAGTACTCAAGAAACACGTGAATTTATCCACCACTCTAAATTAAACCCAGACCTCGCTAAAACAAGTCTTCCACAACCCTATGGGGAAAGGTGTTTCTGGGAGGACTGGTCGGTAGCTGAACCGAGCCACCAGCCGCTTCTGGGCGACAGGTTCCAGATCGTATACACAGTCCTCATATTTTTCCTATCTACTACACAAAGGAACCCATCCGCTTCATCTACTAGTGTGTCAACCTACATAACTAACTGTTTCCAATATTATGACCGGCAACCTGTCTCTGTTTTACAGAATTGGGAGACGACTACCAAAGTCACCTGGGTTCTCCAGACAGTACAAGGCTATGTCATAGAGTTTTATCACAGCCGTGCAGGTCGCCCCTTCACCCCCATTACGCACGCTGGCGGAACAGGAACGCCTCGTGGACAAGAAAATCTGCACCCTCTTCAGGAGGGGCACAATTCAACATGCACCGGAGGGGAAGGCTTCCCCAGCAAAATTTTCCTGGTCAAGAAGAAGCCAGGAGACTACATCAATGGAACTCCTACATGGTATACAAATGCTGCAAGATGGAGGAAATTCGTCTTCTACAAGACCTCCTAGGCGATAACGACTGGTTTACACATCTGGACCTCAAGGACGCACGCTTGTCAGTACCCATTGCCCTGGACTGCCGAAGTTTTCCTCCGATTCCAATGGTGAGGACAAACACGGCAGTTTACGACTCCGTGGTGCTCGCGAACCTACTGTAACCAGTGAGGGCACACATCCGTAAATTTGGGCATGCGATGCCTCGTATACCTGGAAGACTTGCTGATTCTTTACGAATCCAGGCTACGTTTGCAGACAAATTTGTCGTTCACTTTCGGGACTCCATGGGTTTTTTGTTGTACACAGACAAAGATCGCTTCTCCATCTGAATCGGGCCAGTTCTTCTGTTTCGACATCGGCTTGGAGAACTACGTTCCGCGTCCGTCTACGGCAAAGAGCGCCTCTATAAGGATAGCTGTCGGATTGTGGGATTCCTCTCCTCCTCCATACAAGCGTTATTCCCTGGCCCACTATGACTGATGGTGAGATACGTACGCACCGGTCACTCATACGACCACTGGATCCCACTGTCAGCGGAAGTGAGGATGGAATTTCGATGGTGATTACTTCACATACAAACTTGGATTGGCAAAACGATCTTTGACTCTTCCTTCGGATACGGGGCGATCAGGGCCAGATTAAGAGCCCAGTGTGCCTGGTGCTGACAATTATGACGGGCCTAATTACAGAATCATATCCACCAAAAACAATAAAACACTCCCAAGCATCATGTATCTGATGGAGATGGTGCTGGAGAGAAAGAAAACAGCAGCTATAAGAAAACACATACCCTTGGCTAATCTCTCTCTAATTTATGTTTTCAGCTTTCAAGTAAATCCATAACCCCTAACAGCAACGTCCAATCAAGCAGGAAGTCAATGGGCTCGGTAAAAGGGTTTGCCACTGACACAAATCACGTAACCTGCCAAAACGGGTAAACATGCCCAAAAAGAGGACATGTCTGCTCAAAGAATTAGAAGGCCAGCCTGACATGCATTTATGTCAGGCTGGCCTTCTAATTCTTTGAGCAGACATGTCCTCTTTTTGGGCATGTTTACCCGCCTGCCAATCATGCAGCTGGCCAACTAAGGGCATACTATGCAGACAGCACTCTCAGCTTGGCATAAATGCATCTAATGATGCGCTCACTCAATGCTTTCTTAGGACTGTCCCCTAGCACTCGCTGGTCCACTTGTCTCCTTACCTTCTTACTAGCAGGCAGAAGCTCCTGGTATATGGTCTGGGACAGAGAAAAGCTGTATGTAGTGAGTGTAGAAGAAAGTGAACATGCAACAGTGTTAGAGAGACCAAAGTCAGCATTACCTTAAAGGATCACTATAGGGTCAGAAACACAAATATGAATTCATGACCCTATAGTGTTAACACCACCATCTAGCCCCCCCCTGGAACCCTCATGCCTCCATAAATATAGCAAAATCTATATTCAAGCCTGAAGCTGTAACTCTGCATGATGTTAGACTCATAAAAACAAGCAGTCTGCTGACATCATTAGAAGTGGTGGCCTGATCCAATCACAGTGCTTCCCCATATCTCTATGAGGAAAGTTCAGTGTCTGCATGCAGAGGGAGGAGACACTGAATGTTTGGATGTATTTTAGGCAGCCATGACCCAGGAAGGATCTCTAACAGTCATCTAAGGAGTGGCCAGTGAAGTTATCACTAGGATGTAATGTAAAGACTGCATTTTCCCTGAAAAGACAGTGTTTACAGCAAAAAGCCTGACGGTAATGATTCTACTCACCAGAACAAATTCAATAAGCTGTAGTTGTTCTGGTGACTATAGTGTCCCTTTAACTATATTCATTGTCAGCCAGTCCACACAAGTTTTGTTCCCATACATCCCACTTAAGTTTCCATACTTAATTAAGAGTATGTGAAAAGTAGTTAGGGTTGCCACCTTTCTTGGAAAAACATACCGGCCTTACTCATTTGCATAATTAAATATGTATGGATGACATCACATGATGTAAATGACAAGGAGTGACATAAGAGAAAATGCTGTAAAATCACGAAAAAACTACTTAGTTTGATTCTGCTGTATAGATGGATTCCTCCCAGTGCCCCCATGTCTCCCAGTGCCCTCACGACTCAGTGCCCCCATGTGTCGATTACTCCAGGTCTCAGTGTTCCTATGTATCAGTGTCTCAGTGCCCCATGTCTCCCAGTGTCGTGTCCCCAGGTCTCCCAGTGATCCTATGTATCACAGTGTCTCAATGCCCCATGTCTCTCCGTGTCCCCATGTATCCCAGGGTCCCCATGTCACTAGGACTCTAGGAAGACACGGGGAGACCTAGGGACATGGAGACACCAGTGACACTGGGAGACCAGGGGACTCTGGCTGGGACACATGGGGACAATGGGAAAATAGGGGACACTTGAAGACATGGGGATACAGACACTAGAGACACTGGCTGGGGGACATGGGGACATTGAGACATGGGGACATTGAGACATGGGGCACTGGGAGACATGTGGACACAGAGACACCAGGGCCACAGACACTAGGGATGCTAGCTTGGAGACATGGGGACATTGTGACACTTGAGGCAATGAGAGACACGGAGGCACTAGAAGACATGGGGACAGTGAGACACTGGCAGACTGGGGGCACTGGGAGACTAGGGGTCACTGAGAGACTAGGGGGCACTGAGACACCAGGGACACTGGCTGGGAGACATGGGGACACTGTGTCCCCATGTGTCTGTGTCATAGTATCTCCCAGTGTCCCTTAGTGTCCCAGAGTCTGCCATAATGTCTCCCAGTGTCCCTTTGTGCCTCAGTATCTGCCATAATGTCTCCCAGTGCCCCTTAGTGTCTCAGTGTCTGCCATAATGTCTCCCAGTGTCCCTTAGTGTCTGCCATAATGTCTCCCAGTGTCCCTTAGTGTCTCAGTGTCTGTCATAATGTCTCCCAATGTCCCTTAGTCTCTCAGTGTCTGCCATAATATCTCCCAGTGTCCCTTAGTGTCTCAGTATATGTATCCTTGCAGCCTGTCCCCCCATCCCTTACTTCCCTGAGCTGTAGGCTGTCTCTGCAGGGTGGGAGTTGCTGTCTGGACTCTCTGTAGCTGCACCCCTGCAGATCAGTGAGTATAGATAGGCAGAGAGGGATATGCTGGAACTTCCTATCCCTGCCTCTCTCCACATACAGCGACCCCTACTGGCCAGTGCTGGTATTGCGGAGTAATCTCTTGTTTATACTGATAAAAATACCAGCATTTGTATTGCCAGTATCACTGCAATACCAGCACCGCCCCAAATACTGGCTGTGGCAATAAAATAAAAGCCAGGTGGAATCCCTAAGAGTAGTGTGTGAAAATGTTAAAAAATGTTTTTTTTTTTTTTTAAATCAATGGGCCTATTCCATGGGCCTGGGCCTGGAGCTGCAGCTCCATCAGCCCCTATGTTAATCCGGCCCTGGGAAGAGGGGGAGGTCAGGTGCACAGGATCAGTGGAAGTGGTTGGCAAGGTTCGAGTTTGAAATGTTTACGGGTACATTATGTTAATGTATTATGTTAATATGATAAGTTTATGATATTTATTAATGTCAAATAAAGCTTTGGCCTGTTCGTCACCATACACGTCTTGCATCTGCTTATTTAGGATAAGCTTTAGCTAATGATAGGTTATGGGGTATTCATATCTACATGGTACCCATTACCCTCACACATGGTTCTCAAATATAGTTCTTGGAGTTGGCAATAAATTGATCCATATGGCTACAATGCTTAGTAGTAATGAGACAGTTACAGCAGACAGTAGTGTGATACAGATGAAAAGTCTAACAAAGTCAGCAATCTCTTTCTGCCAATGAGTTATACTCCTAGTCTTCACCTTCCAGTGCACTAATCAGTCTTGGTCCTTGGAGTAATCAATTTAAGGTTTGTCTCTGTTCTGGCAACATTATCTAAGAGATAATATATGAACTACATTAACCTTCTTACAGTGAGGAACTGGTGACTTCAACAAACCTATGGATTGTGAGGTGTAACTATGTTAACTATGACCAGAAATAACATACTATATGTTATTTTTTTTGCCTTGTGTCTAACAGAGAAATGTTTTGTACTTCCATAAATAAAGTATGCAGTCCCTAACGGGTCATGGATGTTGTTGTCTCAATTAGAAGTAAAAATAGAAAAACAAGCTTTTAAGAAACAGAAAACACAGTTTCTAATAAATTTAAGTATTGTGAATATGTGTAAGCATTCATTTATTATTTATTTATTACTATTTTCATATGCAATATATTTATTATAGGAAACAACAGTTTTTTGTTTAATAGATAACAGAAAATATTTCTGATTTCAAGGAAGAGGTAGGGTTTTACTAAGGCTTATATTAGAGAATTGTCACTTAAGTACCTGGTATGAGATATGTGATAAAGTGATTGAAATTACTATAAAACTATAACTATAGCATGATAAACCTGATATGATAGGATATATGTGTTAAAATGGTATTACTCGCTATGGTTGTAATGTGATTGTTAACTTTGGCATCCCAACGTTTCTAAACTACATTGCTCATTATG